TATCAGGGGACATATTATTTGTGGGGATACCCCATGTCTAAAGCGGTGTTCTGAATATTGGGGAAAATTGTGATTTTTCTGACTGGAGATAATCAAGTTATTACTTTATCAGACTTGATTATCTCCAGGACTAGGGGAGGGGATTGTATGTTTGTGCTGGGTGTGTTTTACTGTTTTCCTGTAACTGATTGGTTATACTGTGTCCCACCTTGTGGGATGTCTACTTGCATGGGGACTTGCATAAAAGCCGGTGTGTGGTCATTAAAAGAGAGTTCTGTTGTACCCTTTTTCTTGACTTCGGCTGATGTTTGGGGATTTGTATGCTTTACTAAGGGAATCATCTTGTAAAGCTATTGTATTCATATGGATTTCATTTATTCCATCTACCGAACGGAGAGCTATACTCACTGATGCTCTGGCGGTTCGGGAGGAAACTACCGAATGAGGATTGGATATACTAGGTTTCCTTACATAAAGGATGCAAGGTGTGTGTCTGTAAGTGTGTGTCAGAGATGCATTGTGTTTCTGTGTGTATGTAAGAAAAGCAGTGTGTGTGTTTGCATGTGTGTGTAAGGGTTTGCATTGTGTGTTTCTGTGTATGTATGCAAAGGGTGCATTGTCTTTGTGTGTAAGGTTTGCATTTTGTGTGTAATGGATGCATTGTGTGTTTCTCTGTGTAAGAGAAGCATGTTGTGTTTCTGTGTGTGTAGGGATGCATTGTGTGTTTCGGTGTATGTATAGGGATGCATTGTGTGTGTGTGTGTGTGCGCGTAGTGTGAAAGAGCTCCCTGTCTTGCCCCCTGTCCTTTAGTGGTCTCTCCTCTCTCCCTTACCCTCCCTTATCGGTCTCTTCTCACACCCATCCACCCTCCCTGTGCTCTACTCATCCCCCCCAACCCTCCGGTGTTCTTTTCACCCCCTCCACCCTCCCTGTGTTCTTCTCACCCCCCCTCCATGTGTTCTCCCCCCTCTCTGTGTTCTTCTCACTCCCCCCGTGTTCTTCTCACTCCACCCCTCCCTGTGTTCTTCTCACCCCCCCTCTATGTTCTTCTCACCTCCCCCTCCCTGTGTTATTCTCACCTCCCCTTCTCCTCACCCCCGTGTTCTTCTTAACCCCCCTCCCTGTGTTCTTCTTACTTCCCCCTCTCCTCCCTGTATTCTTCTTACCTTCCCCCCTACTCTCTGTATTCTTCTTACTCTCCCCCTGTTCTTACTTCCCACCCTCCTCCCTGTGTTCTCCTTACCCCCCTCCCTGTGTTCTTCTTTCTCCCCCCGTTCTTCTTACCCCCCTGTTCTTCTTACCCCCCCGTTCTTCTTACTCTACCCCTGTTCTTCTTACTCCCTCCCCCCGTTCTTCTTACTCCCCCCCGTTCTTCTTACTCCCTTCCTCCCTGTGTTCTGACATTCTCCTCACCTCCCCTTCCCTGTAGTGTGGCCGAGTTACTCTCTGGTACCACGCAGAGTTTCTGTTTCCTGTACCCGACCGGACTGACAGGACGTGCACACTGAGTGTGCACTTTCCTATCAGTCCGGCCGGGCACCGCGGACCGGAGAGGAGCTCGGCCACGCTACAGGGAAGGGGAGGACAGAAGCAGCGCTGCCCCACGTCCCAGCCCGCCCCTGGTTACTGGCAGTATACACTTTTAATTTCTGTCTTAACACAAAATGTCTGCCAGTATAAATATACTGACAGTTAGTATTATCACTATTGATCTCTGACAGGGATATCGATGTATAATCGGTTAGTATTATCGCTATTGGTCTCTGACAGGGATATCAATGTATAATGGGTTAGTATTATCACTATTGATCTCTGACAGGGATATTGATGTATAATCAGTTAGTATTATCACTATTGATCTCTGATAGGGATATCGATGTATAATCGGTTAGTATTATCGCAACTGATCTCTCACAGCGATATCGATGTATAATCAGTTAGTATTATCACTATTGATTGATCTCTGACAAGGATATCAAAGTATAATCGGTTAGTATTATCACTATTGATCTCTGACAGGGATATCGATGTATAATCGGTTAGTATTATCGCTATTGGTCTCTGACAGGGATATCGATGTATAATGGGTTAGTATTATCACTATTGATCTCTGAGAGGGATATTGATGTATAATCGGTTAGTATTATCGCTATTGATCTCTGACAGGGATATCAATGTATAATTGGTTAGTATTATCACTATTGATCTCTGACAGGGATATCGATGTATAATCGGTTAGTATTATCACTATTGATCTCTGATAGGGATATCGATGTATAATCGGTTAGTATTATCGCAACTGATCTCTCACAGCGATATCGATGTATAATCAGTTAGTATTATTGCTATTGATTGATCTCTGACAGGGATATCGATGTATAATTGTAGATTATACTAGCTTTAGTGTAACTATAATCTTAATTTTATTAATGACATATATTTGCTTAAGTCTCTCTTTACTAGAACTCCACAGCAGCATATTAACATAGAGAGAAAAACACCAAAGACAAAAACATAAGGAATCCATAAAAGGCTCCTCCCAACCAACTATTTCCTCTTTCACGCTGTGACAAAATAAGATACAAAACAATGCCAATAAACTAATTAAAGGAAGAAAAAATATAACACAACGATGAAAGCCATCTGGAAGAAAACTTCGAAGAATGGATGGGATCTTGATCTTCATCCTGCAAAACAGTCGATTCTATGAGCTGTAGTCGAACCATTAAACTGAAACGAAGTCGAAAAACACTGATTAGTGAACAAAATGTACTGAGAAAACATAAATCCCACGATCCAGTACTGATAGTACAAAAAAACATCAAACCCATCATCAACTACCGGCAATACAATATACCAGACACCAACCCCAACTTCCCCAGACATCACCCCAGACTACCAAATCTAGCCCAGGTGACCAGACAAAACAACAGAAATTCAATCAAAGCAATCAATCCAAACAAAAGTGGGGGGGAAGAAAAGTGGGTGGGAAATATTCGCCTCCTGTCATTAATAAAATTAAGATTATTACTAAAGCTAGTATAATCTACAATTTTATAACATGACAGGAGGCTTCATATTTGCTGTTTTAACACTCCGACAGCAAAGCAA